ACGATCGGCGGCTCTATAGCCTACCGATCGTATGTATGTGCTGGCTGCGCCCCCCCCCTCCTCGAGTGCCAGTGCCGCCCCCTCCTGACACCTCACCTTCAATACCGGGATCCGCTAGCCCATCTGCGGCCCGGGACCGGCTCAGGAGGGTGTCAGGAGGTAAGATGGGAGGGAGCTCAGCATCTTCCTCCTTGCTGATCTCCCTCAGTACTGTGAATGCGGAAGTAATGTGTAATACATCACTTCTGCATTCACCGGTCAGTCATCTGGCTGCTATAGCCAGAGAGAAGAAGCGGATGAAGCAGATCTGTGCTTCATCAGTTTCTTTGGGGGTCCCTAGGTGACATTAGGGGTCTTAGAGACCCCTAATATCTCCATAAAGAGGACCTGTCAGTGTGACTTTGCTATTATATAGGGGGATTGTTATCCCCCTATGTCATAGCAATAACAAAAAGTGTAAAAAAAAAATAAAAAAAAAATAAAAGTCACATATAAAAAAGTAAAACAAACCCCCAAAAATGTTTTAAGTCCCCCACCCCCACGTTTATGCACATATAAACGTAAATACGCGTTCGATGCGCCAGTGTGCGAAAATGACAATTGCGCTACACATGATACATATCGCCGCGAACGTCAGAGTGAGAGCAATCATTTTAGGGCCATCAATCACTGATAACACTAAACTGATGAGCGGTAAAAGCTTTTACAGCGTCGCCTATGGCCAATTTTGGGTATTGTAGTATTTTGAGGTTTCACACGCGCGCGCAATTTTAAGGCTTGACATGTTTGGTGTCTATTTACCCGACGTGACCCCATCTCTTATATTTTACAAAAAAATTGGGTAATAATAAATGTTTTATCATTTAATTTAGGGGAAACGTTGTTGGTTTTTTTTCGGTAATTTTTCTTTAATATATTAAAAAATAAAAACCCCAGTGGTGAATAAATACCACCAAAAGAAAGCTCTATCTGTCCCAAAAAAATGGTATAAAATGTATTTCGGTACAGCGTTGCATGACGGAATAAATGTCAGTCAAAGTACCACAGCGCTGAATACTGAAAAATGGCCTGGACAGGAAGGGGGTTTAACACCCCGGACTTCAAGTGGTTAAGTAGGTGGTACGTGTCAAAGTATCATCCATATGAATTGCAGGACTCAACGTTTCCCAGCAGAACATATGTCTTTGCAAAAGATTTGCATGATGGCTTGAGGATGTCTATGACCCAAAACTGTTGTTGTTGTTGTTCTTGAACTTCGTAACCACTTTTAGGCCAGCTTTAAAGTTCTGCAATGGCAGTCTATTTATTGCTTTAACTAAGGAAGCATGTATGAATGCTGGATGAGAAAAGTGAGGTGTGTAAATAATAAAGTAGTTAGAACTCTGATGGCAAGATGTGCTCCAGCTTGATCCATATCTGAGTACCCTGGAGAGATATATAAAGCCACAGCTCATACAATGTGGAAAAAAAACATGGCTGCCACGGAACAGACAGAATTAAACTCTCACTGTTCAGAATACATAATGAGTGCACAGAGAACGAAAAATACTTGTATCATGGAAAACATTTTTGAATTTGCATAGCACACATTATAAACTGAGGACTTATTTTCAATCAGTTCATACAACAATCCCCCCCTCCCAAGAATTTACTATATAAAAAAACAAAAACAAAAACATAAGAATCTGTGAAAAAAGTGAGACATTGCCCATGGTGACCAGAAAGAATCACACTATCAGGAACCATGGGGAACAAAAGTAGCCACCCTCCAGAAGGAAGGACAGTGTCAGCACCAAGTCAGAGATGATTTGAGGATCTACAGCTAGTGATACACAAATAAGTTACATTTTTGTTAATAGTTCAGGTACTTTAATGTATTTTTAAGATTTACCTCCTTGAGTTTAGTGTTGCTTTAATCAAATTTAAATGGAAATAATGAGGAGAAAATCACATCTTTGGATTGCGGTAACATGCATTGTACCATACATTAAGACAATGCATGGTAAATACATTCAGCAAGGTGAGGTACAATTTAATGTTAATGGTACCGCAAAGCACCCTGCGAACACACCTCAATGCACACACATTTCTGCAGTGTTGAAAAAAAAAAAAGTTTCCTGCCTCACTTTCTGTGCGTTGACAGCCCATACAAAAATAAATGGGCGGTCTTAACGCAATGTACATTAACATGTGTGTTAACGCACCAGATAGGGCCTAAAAGAAAAAAAAAATTTGTACACCACATTTTTTAAACCCCCATTAGAAATTCTCAAACATTGCCCAAAACCTACTTTTTCAAATTAACAAAAAATAAATAAATATCAAAAAGTACTCCTTGTGGGTGGATTTTGCTGTGAATTCACTGATATCTTAATCGATTGATCAATACTAATTTTAAGCAGCAAAGTGGTTTAGTGGTTAGCACTTCTTGGGTCCTCAGTTCGAACCCCAGTCAGGTCATTATCTGCATGGAATTCACATGTTCTCCCTGTACTTAAGCAGGGGTACTCTGTATTTTTCCCAGACACCAAAGACATGCTGTTAGGTTAATTGGCTCCTGTCTAAATTGGTACCAGTATGTGTGTGCATGTATTAGAGATGCACCAATACTAGTATCTGTATTGGTGCCAATACAGAGTATTTGGGCAAGTACTTGTACTCACCCAAATGCTCCGTTACTTACCCCGATACCAGAACTTACAGGAAGAGGGACTTATCCCTCTGACCGGCAGTGCCTAGGGAGCATGAAGCTGGCTTCCTTTCCAATCAGGAAATTAAATTACATCATGACTTGCCTCCTGATTGGTTAGCAACAATGACCTGCCTCCTGACTTCCTGATTGATCAAGAAGCCAAGTTGCCTAGTAACAAGGGAATCTGGCTTCCTAGCCAATCAGGAAACCGGGCGGCACATCATGACCTGCCTCCCGACTTCCTGATTGGTCAGGAAGCCAGGCGGCACATCACGACCCGCTGTCCAGCTTCCTGATTGATCAGGAAGCCAGGCAGCCTTGGAAAGTAAAGTCGGTGTTCTTTTAATAGAACACCGGCTTCCCAGGCAATCAGCAAGTCGGGCGGCGTGCATGTGTACTAATTCTCTGTTTCCTGTTTAGTTGTATAATGTTCATAGGCAATGCTATTCCATTGAATGGTCATATATACTTATATATTGTGTTCTTAGCCACATGTACCATCAGGTATTTTTTTATTAAAACATGTGTACGTCTATGATCCTGTATTGTTTTATTTGACATGATTATACAGCTAAATGATATTTCTACTACAATCGGATGTTTATGGGCCTGGTTTTAGGATAATGGATTTTGGGTTGGTACAGACAAAGAGAACTCTCCTGTGCATGCCAGCCACAAATCGGCGCCGATCACAAGTTTCATAAACCTGTCTGTGCTATATTGATTGCTTAAAATATGTGGCGGTCTGGAATGCTGAAACTGTCACTACACTCAGGGCATAAAGAGACATTATACTGATATATTGAATAGAGCGTACAAGAGGTTGTGCAGCAGTGATGTCATTACACAGCTGCTAAGTGCCTTTGTCTGATAGCCGTTTCCACACATGAAATGTATCTATAAGATTCCAGTAATACACATTTATTGATCAGGAACCCCACACTGTTATTTTTATGGTTATAGAACAAAATAGAACCATTTGAACTCTGGAAAAATAAAATATTGTAAGTGTCATCTAACAACCACAAAAATGGGGGCAGGTTTAATTCATTAAGGAGAAAACTGGTACAAAAAATGGGGATGGGTATCGTACATAAAGGAGAAAACTGGTGCAAGTAATGGGGATGAAAATTGTTCATCAAGGAGAAAATTGGTACAAATAATGGGGATGGGTATTGTTCATCAAGGAGAAAACTGGTACAAATAATGGGGATGGGTATTGTTCATCAAGGAGAAAACTGGTACAAATAATGGGGATGGGTATTGTTCATCATGGAGAAAACTGGTAGAAATAATGGGGATGGGTATTGTTCATCATGGAGAAAACTGGTACAAATAATGGGGATGGGTACTGTTCATTAACGAGAAAACTGGTACAAATATTTGGGATAGGTTAATTTAAGAGAAAACTAGTACATCCCCAGGGGCATTAATAGTATGGCTGGATTGTCCTGGGACTCAAGGGTCAATTTATTACCATGCAAGTATTATTACGGTCCTCCATCACTTCCCCAAGCTCATGACAAACCCCCATACATCACGAAAACCTTGCAGTCAACAATGAAATTGTCCTGTTTCTATTAATTGCTTCTGACTAACCTAAACCATAGACAGTAATGGGGTGGGTCACTCAGTATGTATGTTGGGCAAAGTAAAAGGAAGACACCCAGTCCAATCGCCCCTTTTTCAGAAAAATAATGGGGATGGGTATTGTTCATCATGGAGAAAACTGGTAGAAATAATGGGGATGGGTATTGTTCATCATGGAGAAAACTGGTACAAATAATGGGGATGGGTATTGTTCATCATGGAGAAAACTGGTACAAATAATGGGGATGGGTACTGTTCATTAACGAGAAAACTGGTACAAATATTTGGGATAGGTTAATTTAAGAGAAAACCAGTACATCCCCAGGGGCATTAATAGTATGGCTGGATTGTCCTGGGACTCAAGGGTCAATTTATTACCATGCAAGTATTATTACGGTCCTCCATCACTTCCCCAAGCTCATGACAAACCCCCATACATCACGAAAACCTTGCAGTCAACAATGAAATTGTCCTGTTTCTATTAATTGCTTCTGACTAACCTAAACCATAGACAGTAATGGGGTGGGTCACTCAGTATGTATGTTGGGCAAAGTAAAAGGAAGACACCCAGTCCAATCGCCCCTTTTTCAGAAAGATTAGATTTCCTTCTTGTATTGCAAACTTATCACCTAATTACTCCTATGAATAGGAGATATTTAAATCATACCCACAGATGCCCATAGACATCAGATGGCAATCAAACCTGCACGTTCAATCTGACTGCCAACAGATCATTCCAAAAATGTGCAGGCTCTGTCCATGCCAGTAGAATAAAGGTGAGGTAGCATGATGCCATCCCTAAAACTAGCTTATTCTGGGGAATACTTTAATGATCTGCCAGGGGGATCCAATGAGCTCGACCGGTTCTGCAAACAATAGCTTTTGCCCAGGCAATGTCATCGCAGAGTAATCATTGACAAATGAACATTCTGTGATCTGACCATAATTAACAAGATTGGGTGGCAACCCCCCCAAATCTGCAGGGAACTTAACATCTAAAAAGGTACCCATAAGATGCCTACCCCTATCTTTAATCTAAGCATATTCTGTGGACAGTGAATGTATGGGGCAGGAAAGCAACAAAAACTTTATTGCATCACCTCTGTCTGTTGCACAAAAGAGTGATGAGCTGTGTTTTAATAATAGAATTAAGGGAATGCTGTTCATAGCCGATGCAGACATTTAGGTATGTATACCCAATACATGCCCAAAATACACAATATAAGTATGCATGCCTATGTGTGTATTATGGAAACATGATGTTCAGCGTGCATTCTCACATCTGGCAGCCGTGACCATATTTTTTACTATAAAATAGAAAATGTCTGTGACAAAAGATTCTGATACAGCCGTGGATATTTTTTTCTGCAGTAAAGGCCACATGGAAAAAAAAAGACACACAAAAGTGCTGCCAAAACCTGCGAGAGCGAGGCAGCAACATGAAACTGGTATGGGGGAATGGCAGCTGAAATTTCTGATTCGGAAAAGAAAACTGTTTACACTCAGCTCAATCAATTTTGAGAATATTGTATAAAGTCTAGAATGTGAACCGGTTACTAATGCTGCATGCTGACCCACACAAAGTCTAACAAAACCCCAAACTGCATTCCTGAGAGAAGAAATTGTGCCAAGACACCTCACGTCAGTCCGGACTTACCCAACGCCTTCAGATACTCCTCAAAATTCTCATTGCTCATCATCTTCCAGTAGCCATTGAAATCAGTTGGCATGATTGCTTGGGGTAGAGCAGGCTTTGTGTCTACAAGTAAACTGCTTGTTGCTGAGGCTGGGGGAGTAGTGTATGCTCTGGCTGTGACTGCAAGCTGTGCTATGCGAGGTCTTTACCCAGACCCTGCTGTTAAGTGAGCCCCTCCTAATTCGATCACAATGCAAAAAGTTACCTCCCACCCACTGGCCATCTCTGACTGCACACAGCAGCCTGTTCATTGCTCACAATGTTACAGTCAAGCTGCCGTGTCAAATAAAAGTGAAACTGAGTATCGTAATTCTGCGATCGCATGAATACTGCCGATAGTAAAACTGAAAGATGAATGACGTAAATTCATACTCGAGCGTGAGCATTTGCAGGCGATTTTGAGGCTTTTGTTGAGCGTTTTTGCACTTTTTTTTGGAGTTATCAGGCTTGATGATTGTTAGGCCTGGTTCACACCTGACCGTTTTGTAGTGCGTCCTACGCTCGATGAACGCACTACAAAACGGACCAAAAAGTAAATAGCATTAATCCGACACACACACCACAAAGGTCTTTTTAATACAGGAAAGGGAAATGCTGCGTCTCAGGAAGTCTTTTTCATTGGACGCTTGCGGAAAAACAGGAATTCTTCTTCATTGGATACCTCTGTTGTCGCTTCAAAACGCGCGTGCAACGCGCGTTTCTAATGTAAAAAAACGCACTAAAAACGCACATGAAAACGCGCCAAACTCCGGGAAGAAAACGCGCGTGTGACGCGCTTATGCAATACGCACAGGTGTGAACCAGGCCTAAGAATTTCCGAGTATAAAAGACGTGCGTTTTTCCCTCGCGTGTTTTTGTGTGTCTTACTCATTTTTACAGAAAGTCCATGGTCCCATGGCACGCCTGACCGCCAAATCCCTTTGAAAAGTGGGTGCTGCGGTAGTCAACGGGTGGCATCCGTTATGATCACAAGTAAAGATAAAGACACCGGCACTCCAAATTCCAAAGTATGCTTTTGCCTGAGGAAGGGGATCTTCTGTGACCCCGAAACGTTTATTGCTATTTACTATGCTGCACGTCAATAAATAGACGTTTGCTTATGAATTTGGAGTGCCGGTGTCTTTATCTTTACTTGCCCATTTTTACACACATTAGATGCGCATAGGTAAAGACGCGCGTTTTCATGAGCAGATCAAAATGCATTGCTGTGATTGAGGAAATGTGCGCACAAACCGTGCACAGAAATGTGCATAATGCTTGAGTCACGCTTTTTAATGCCCTTCCATTGAAGTCTATGTGCGCAAACGTGCGGTAATCTGCCCGAAAAAAGCTCATGTACCTTTTCCAGCGTTCAGCGTTTTACAGCTTACAACAAAACTCTCAGGTGTGAACAGGGCCCATGGAAATGAAGGGGATTTCTTGTGTTGAGAGTTTTGTCACACTTAGCTTTGAGCGTCAAAACGCCCAGGAGTTCAACGGGGACTAAAATGTGCAACATGCTTGCAGTGCCATAACTTATTAATGGGACCCCAAACACACGGGTAAAATGTTCTTCATATCCTTTGTGTGCACGCACAACAATTGCACATAAGCAATGTGTGGGGAAAAACACCGGAACTCTCGCAGCTACAATGCTAAATGAGAGCTACTTTTCTGCGATTGTGACACATGCAAAAGCCTATTTGTTGAATGGGCTGACGCGCGACAGCAGCTGAAAAAATGCACGCAAACGCGCATGAACATGGGTTCACGCATCACTAGGTGTGAATGGGGTCTAAGGTACAAAATCAGATCACAAATGTGCGTTATGGCGTTTTTCAGGCACTCCCACTGAAGTCTATGGGGTCAATAATACGCAATTCTGCCAGAAAATAGGTCATGTACTTTTTCAAGCTACAAGCAACAGGTGACACAACACGTAGGTTTAAATGGACAACACTGAAAATTATGACAGTCTCTATGTTGAGCGTTGTCACGAAACACAACAAAATGCTCAGGTGTAAATTTTCATAAAAATTACATATTGTATTATCTATTGATTTTTGCAATAAGTTTGCTTTACCCTCACACCCCTCATCAGCATATACTCACCTTTCCTTCACATCCCCCCTCCAGTTAGCCCCAGGAACCAAAGAAAATACCTGGTACTAGAGATGAGGTGCACCCAAGCCCGCTCAAAACTCGGCTAGTTATGTGCAAGTAGGTCCTCTGACCAGCCCTGCATGCCGACAATTTGCATCCATACACAAACTGGACACAGGTAATCATCCAGTTTGTATGTGGCCATAGCCCAGAGTGCTGCTATGTCCAGAAACAGAGTTTAGACCACAAGTAACAAAATAAGCATAGTTAAATTGAAATACAATAATATAAGTCTATACACATAAAACGTCTAAAGCTAGGTATACACAGAAGAATTTTGTTAGAAAAAAAATGTAATAACGTTGTTTCGATTTTCTATAGTTAATGGGGTCAGATTGGTGAGTGATTTCGGCTATAGCATATGAAAAAAATAAAAGAATCAGGATAGATTTTTTTTGTTGAACAATTGAAATTTTAACAGTGAATGTGTTTTTTTTTGGGGGGGGGGGGGAACTCCATTAATTCCAAATTTGAATGTTAAGAACACAGACATTCTGCAAGTTTATGATGACATAGTACCTTGCATATCAATGTCTGCTTGATGAATGTATACTTCTGTCTACTTTGGGTGTGGACAATTTGTGTTTCTTTCACTTGTGGATGTGTATTGCATGTCTAGGCTTGTTGTCTTCTTTGTCACCTGAATTTACTGGTGCAGATGACAAACAACACAGGAAAGGTAGACGTGCAATACGCAGAACAGCACACAAGGCAAAACCCATTTAAATTAACATCTTCTATGTTTTTAACATGAACTGCTATTTGCATCAGTAGAAATGCAGCACACGAGCTGAATGGAAAAGGAAAATACTTTGTAGAGTGTGTTTAAAAGACAGGAAGTGGTAGCTAGCAGGTGAGAAGTAGTGTGGAGGAGGTTGGAGAGTGGGGATCCTGGTACTGCTGTGAGTTTGAATGTCAGTAATCTTGCTGGAAATATGTAGACTGGGAAAGTTACCCTAGAAGTCTGGGACTGTTTAAACTGCGATTGCAGCTCTGAAATCTTCATGTCGGTGAGACTGTTCTTTTGTGTTGTACTGAAGAGTTGCTGTTTGAGTTGGCCAGCGGGTCAGTGAAGATAAACTGTTTTGTTATTTTGCTCCTGTGAAGCTATTTAAGTTAATAAACTTTACTTTATTTGCAAAGCCTGTGTCCTGCGATCCTGCTGGATTCCCCTAACATCACAATATATATATATACACACGCACGCGCGTGCTTTGCAAGTAGAGCTATTATTGATGCACAAAAACCCCACTGACTGAAAGAACTTTGTTCGTAGACAAAGAACGAGATTTACTAATACAGACTAAGATGGCCACCAGTGCAGAAGTAAAATGAACAAAAATATTGAAGTTTTAATTAAAAAAACCCCATCCAAATGATCCGAAATGAAAATTCAGACTGTTTACCTTTCCAGAGACAATGACAGTGCACCTGGCTGCCACCTACAAGCACTGCCAGTATCACTGAAATGGCGACTAGGTGAGAGCCAGGTGAATACACCTTTCCAGAGATACTGACGGTGCACCTGGCTGTCACCTACAAGCACTGTCACTGTTCATGAAATGGTGTCACCAATCCACCATTCCAGTGACCATGACAGTTCTTGTAGGTGGCAGCCAGGTGCACACACCTTTCTGGAGACACTGACAGTGAACCTGGCTGCCACCTACAAGCTGTCAGTGATAGTGTCGGTGTCACTGGAATGGTGAATAAGTGAGAGCCAGGTGCACACACCATTCTAGTGACACTGACAGTACCTGTATGTGGAAGCCAGCTGCACACCTTTCTAGAGATAATGACAGTGCACCTGGCTGCCACTTACAAGCACTGTCAGTTTCACTGCAACGGTGAATAAACCATCAGTGATAGTGTCGGTGTCACTGGAATGGTGAATAAGCTGTCAGTGATAGTGTCGGTGTCACTGGAATGGTGAATAAGTGAGAGCCAGGTGCACACACCATTCCAGTGACACTGACAGTGCCTGTAGGTGGCAGCCAGCTGCACACACCTTTCCAGAGACACTCTCACCTATCTGCAATTCCATTGACACTGACAATGCATCTGGCTCCCACCTACAAGAGTGCCAGTGTCACTGGAATGCTGTACACACAGTGCACCTGGATCCCTCCTATGCAGCAGTCTGTAGACTGCGGACCTATTGTTCAAGCCCCTCCCACTTTCTAAAGCACCATTTGGATATACCCACCGTAGGTCCACCAACTGCACAACCCAGAGTTTCAGGAATGACCATTTCTTAAAGTTCCCGGGTATGCTAATCACATTCAAGCATTTAAAACAGATTTCAATCCAACTGTTGACTGTGAGCAACTGTTTTCTGTACACCAGGTTTTCTATACACAGAAAGCCTACGGTGGCTATATTTGACTGATTCATCTGCATCAAAAGAAGGGGTTCTTGGATCACCAGATAAAGAGAGTGCACAATAGTCAGTGCCTGGACAAGCTCCTTCACCACCCAAAGCAAAAGGGCAAAAGTAACCCCCTGACACCCCCATGAGCTGTGCACCACCTGCACAGTTCCTACTCTTTTTGCACACCCCACCTGTTCAGGGTGGCCACTTCCTCACAGCCCGACCTTGAATATGGCAATTCAATGAGTAATGAGGAGTTCAAGGTTCAGTGTTCAGATGGAAGGTAACTTTACTTATTAAACAATCCCAATTAAATTCCTAATCTGGCCAAAGGCCTCGAAGTTAAGCACATACAGTATACACTATTGTTGGTTGGATAGTGTAAACACATTTGTATAAAGTCATAAATATTAGATTTTTCTAAGAGACATATTCTGTCCCTTTCATTTTTGTACATCTACAAAGCATAAACAGTCCATACGCTTTTTCTAAATTAAACAGATCCGTACTTTTCAAAAGATGAAGGAAAAAGTCTCAATGTTAAAAAAAGAAAAAAGGCAGTGTATTCAAAAATAAAATATTTGGGTCAGATTGGAGAGTGACATTGGATGTGGTTGTAAGTCCGTTATAACCAAGTCTGAAGGAGTAGTCTGCTAGTGTTTGGAATGGGTATGCTGTGAGTTGAAGTGGTACAAAGGAGAAGTGGCACACTGGGGCTTCTAGAGAG